GGCTCCTCCCGCGCCCGCTGCAGGCTGGACCTCGCCGCCGGAGCGCCCGAGCGCACCCCTGGAAGGGCTCCGTGGCGCTCGGCTTCCTCTCCGCCGCCGCCGCGCAGACGCTTCCGTCGCTGGCCCTCGCAGCCCTGCTAGTGCCCGCTCTTACTCATCCTCTGCCCCGGGGCTTACGGAATTCTCCTACTTTAAAAACAACGGCGAACCCCGCTTCTGTGTCTTAAACAATCCCAGCGCCCCGTGCACTTTCGCTCAGGACGAGCGGCTGGATCCGTGGGCGAGAGATGCCCTCCTGCTGGAGCCCCGATTCTGCCCCGGATGCGGGGCACCGCTAAGAGTGTAAACCCGACCCCTCCCCATCAGGCGCGGGAATGCAAGGGTAATTCGAGGCGCTGAAGCCAGCGACTCGGCCCAGCCTGGAGCAGCGCCCCCCACCCGCATGCAAGCGCGGCCAGCAACCTGGTCATCTCCGCTCCTCAGGGGTGGGGGGCTCATTTAGGAAAAGAAACCTCAGAGGAGATCTGCTAGGTCCCCATGAAGCTGGCATTAGAGGAAGGGGAAAAAGAGAGAACTGTGAGCCTCTGCTCTGCTTAGGTTTCCGCGGTGGGCAGCTCCAGCGCTCAGGCAGGCCGGCAGGTGGTTAGTCCGCGGGCCCAGGGCGCTGGGGCTGGCCGGGTCTGCGGCTTGCCGGCTGTGCGCTTTGGGGCGGCCGGGGTCGGGGCGGGGCTGGAAAGCCCTGTGCAGCTTGCACTGTCGGTGGTGATGGGAGGAGGCAGGAGCCATCTGAGGGTGATTTACCCGGAGAATGGGAGTCTGAGGTTTCTGCTCTGACCACAGGAAATGTCTAAGAGCAGAAGCCCAACCTTTTCCCTGCTGAAACCTGGCTCTCCCGCCTACCTGTGTGCGGGGCTCGCTGCGTCTCTGGGCTCTGGCTGCTTTGGGCGCAGGCGCTCTCCGCCTCCTCCTTACATTCCCGCTCCTGTCCCCTTTGCGGCCTCTCCCCAGCAAACTGCTGCTCAGGGTGTGTCCGGGCCTGGTGCCACTCGAAGGGCAGAGGTGACCTGTAGACACAGTCTTGAAACACCTGGAAACACGCAGTGGGGGGCAGCCGGGTGAGCGGGTAATTAAGAAGCAGCGCTGTTGGTGCGCCAGTGGAGTCAGACATTTGATCACTCTGGGAGCCGGGGTAGGAGCATCCGACCCAGAGGGCACGAGGAGGGGAAGGGAACTGGAGAAGGCTTCAGCCGGGCACTGCGGGCAGAATTGGATGGTGGGAGCATTTCCCCTGGAGGAATCTCAAACAAAGCGCCAGGAGCATGAAGCAGTGCGGTATGCAGGGAGCTACAGAACACACAGCTCGGCCGGGCTGGAGGCGGCGCGAGGCTGGAGTGACCGGAGAGGAGTGAGGACCGAGGAGGGGGTGACGGAGTCCTGTGAGCTCCGGATCCCGCTGGGGAACGACACCGGCGGACTGTGCAGCGTGACCCGGAGAGGGCGAGGCTGCCCACGCGCTGGCAGCCTGCGAAGTCAGGGAGTCGTGGGGTGACAGTCCGGCAGGGATGCCCAGGGAAGCTCAGCGTGAACCCGGAACTGCTCCCACACGTAAAGGGTCATTACCATTTTGATCACACGATAAAGCCTCGGTTGGGGGACCCATTATAAAAGTTGGGTCTTCTCATCACTTACCCACGCCGTGACAGTAAGATCCACAATGTGGTCCAAAGAAGTGCAAATGGTACTTATGCTTAACGAAAACCTTTAAAAAGGCAATGAAACCAGTGGCTTGAGGAATAATTTTGCAGCTGCCTCTGGGACACATAAGACTGAATTTGGTGCTGCTACAGTGGACAGGGGTGAGAGGGCACGGTGTTAGTTTATGAAGGCGAACTGCCGGGCAGTGATACTCTCTGAATACAACCTCTGTTGGGGTGGGCCCCAGAGGACCCCGGAGATGGGTCCAGATGCCTCATATTCGCTGAACTGTTCCGCAGGCCTCAGTGAAGCCCCCAGCATGGGGTCCTTTCTACTAGAATATTTTGGAATTTGCTGATGTGGCCCCAAACGCCCTACCTCAGGGAAGCCAGGAGAGTGTCTCTATGCCAGTGTGGCGTCTGCTTCCAGAGCTGTTTATGGCTGAGCTGAAAACTGTCTTCAAACTTAACCATAGATGTGCATAAATCTTCCTCAGTTACCTAGCAACTAATACAAGATGACCAAGGTTCACAGGCCTGGGTGGGGGTAAACCTGTTTTAGGAACACCTGTGAGTATTTTAATAACACTTGGAGGTTGCTGGAAGGGAAAAAGAAAATTAACATGTCCAGTTAGATGTTTGAGTTTGGTTCTGCTTTTGTTTTAGTAAAAACTGAATCAAATAACAAAAGCCTCTTGTAAGTCTCCAACATTTGTAGTAACAGTGAGGACTTTACAAAGACCGATGATCTCTGAAACCACTTCCAAAGTTAAAAACCTGACCATAAATGAGCTCTGTGATCTCATGTGTAAAGTGAGAGCTGACAGCAGGAGAATCGTCGTTTCAGTCTCTTTTCCAGGTTGTGTGGGGTAATGGGGCATGTAGACTGGATATGTTGACTATGACACCAAAGATATGTGCCTAGAGTCAACGTGAATTTTTCAAAAAGAAAACATGTTGAAGTAATGGAAACATGGAACATGCCAAGGTGTGAAATATGCACCCACAAACATACATGTACACATGTGTACATATTTTCTCCATGTGTACAGACGCAGTGATCAAAAATACAATGAATATTTAAATTTTAAAATAACTTTATTACAGTAAAAGACATTGGAAAGATCATTGGGATAAGTGAGTTCAAACAGAAAGGGAAGCCAGGTGTGGCGGTGTATGCCTGTAATCCCAGCACTTGGGAGGCTGAGGCAGTAAGATCACTGTAAGTTCTAGGCCATCCTGAACTACATAGATACCCTATCTCAAAACAAAACAAAACAAAATGAAACAAACAATGGAAGGGGAGTGTTCAGAGTATTTTGAAGGAGATTAATGGCAGTGCAACTTTCACCATAAAAAATTTCTTTATTTAAACATTCACTGTATCTTGATTGATCAAATGTTCATTGATCAAATGTTTGTAGCAATTTTTGATAACCAAAACACATTATTGTGTGTCCTCATCTATCATATTCAGATCTGGCCCTGTGGAACTTATGACTGCTCCCCCAAATCAAAATGACCATGAAAGGTAAACGTTTTGAGTGGGTTCAGGACGTCAAAGTGGCATGACAGTGCCGAGGGAGACACTGGAGAACGGGCACGTCCAGAGCTGCTTCAGAAAGCAGGAGAGCAGTGCGGTGAGTGTGTTCAAAGTGGGGGGAGTTTGTGGCAATGAGTCTTTATTGTAATAAAGTTTTAAAACTGTAACTAGCCACTGTATTTTTGTCACTCCTCATGCATGTGTGTGCGTGCGTGTGTGTGTGTGTGTCTGTGTGTGTTTATAAAATTAGTTTGCACATCAGGGCCTAGCTTGCAGATTCCACTGCACAGGGCTGGGGAGGGAGGCACTGAGGCCTTATGCCTAAGACACATAGCAAACTGACCAACTGGGGTCCAGCCCTGCCAAATTTAGTGAGTTTTCAAAAAGCCAGAAATCCAGAATTTGTGTAGGTTTTCCTTTTTTAAAAATATTAATGATTATTTAAAAAAAATTTTAAGAGCAATGTGTAGGCTAACAAAGTGAATCCCCTTTAAAGCAACACTTCTGAGTGAGTAATTTAAACAAAAATTATATGGTGGGCCAGGGATCAGTGGTGCAGCTCCTGCCTGGCAAGCATGAGGTCCTGAGTTCAATTCTCAGTACCAAAAAAAAAAATGATATGGTTGATCCAACCTCACTTTGTCCAAGAGAGGGTCTTGAGCCTGCGTGGACACCTGCTGACCTAGCTCACCACGGGGTCCTGTACCCAGGCGGGGTCCTCAGTGTCCGTGTCAGAGCCCTTCAGTTGCTAGGTATGGGCTCTCACAAGAGTCACAGGACCTGGGCG